AAAAAAAAAAAAAATGATAAAAGAAATATAAAAAAAGATTCCAATTTTTTTTTTTTTTAAATTACACGTTCGAAGAATTATAGCCTTCAGACAAAATTAAATTACGAGGGAAAGTAATAAATCCGTAATTTTTTTTCAACGAGAAGCATAACTAGCTATTTAGGATTAAGGATCGAGTGATAAAAATTCGATCCGAGGTGTCTCATATTTTTTAATGGAATCGAACGTGAACACGTTGCCGCACGCGACACGTTTTGGAATCGGCACGTGCCACTTTTTTTTTCAATAACATAATTAGCCCGCTTAATCGAATAACCGCATCATAAGCGGCAGACGACGAGTATTGGCATGAAGCCAAAAAACGCGGAATAACTGGTCTAGTTCGACTTACCGATACTCGAATTAACACTGTTTTAGACGACTTTAGACAACTGTTCGATGATGGATAACGAAATTTCATTGAACTTCCATTTAATAGATTGAAGCGCAAAAGGAAAGATGCATTTGAGCACGTTCATGCAAAATTAATAACATTTATCAATTTATCATAATCAGAAAAGTATACCTGGCGTCATGAGGGGTGGGCAGCGTGGCGCCACGATCCAGCAGGATTTTCAAAATTTCGTAATTGTTCTTATGCGCTGCCAAGATCAGTGGTGTTATATCCGGTGTAAAGTTCGATGATGACCTGTCGACGGCTTCCCAACTCTGCAGAGAGATCCACAGGGAAATGATGAAAGCAACGAGATTAATGACAAACGAAAGAAAATTAAACGAGTATAAAGTGATAGGTGATGAAATAATAAGCAACAGAGAATCTTCGTTCCTTAAGACTTTCGATAAGATGATAAAGGATGAGTGAACCTTGTCCTTCTAATCGACAAGTGCAAGAATACTTCATCATAGATGAGCTTACGTAAGGTTGACCAGGCTGGTGTATTCTTTCCTCCCATTCCAGTAGGATCTCCACGGCTTCCACATACTCTTCCTTTATGGCGTGCAAGAGTGCATCCTGAAAGTAGTAGAAATTATGTTGAGGGCGTGCGCCATGCTTTTAAACGCGTGGTCCCAGCAGGAGAAATTTTATCGCTGGTCTACATACATTGTACGCTACCACTTTTATTCCATCTTGGCTACGATACAGCCAATTTACAAGGGAGTGTAATATATTATCCACTACTAACTCGGAAGAGCGTATCTCGAGAGGATCAATGATTTATCGAAGAGGCAATGCACGGGATCAATAAAAGTCTCCGTCGAATTTGATCGTTAATTATTAATAGTTATTGTTAATTACCTTCACGTGAATGCCTAATTCGAGAAGCAGCCTGATAAGTTCAACATTCTCGTTCTCGATGGCGGCAATCAGAGCAGATCGGTTGAGAGGATCCACGCAATTAATGTTGAGGATCTCCGGATGATCCTTGTTCTCTTCCAACAATCTGGTTCAACAGCGTTTCATTTCTCTCACGTAATTTCTCTGAATATATTTATAAAGAATCGTAATAAACTCTTAACTTCAGCATGAATCACGAATTTCAGATCATCAGCTGTATTGTATTCCCTCTACATGTGTCCACATGTTATACATTCCTGTACAAAAGTCCTAGGGCAAACACTATATTTCAAAACTGAAAATATTAAATAATAAAATTTGTACAAGAAGGAAAATTTATTATCAACAATAAATACTGAATATTAAAGTTTAGAATGTCCTAAGACTTCTGAGCAAGAAGGTATATCGAATATTTGAAACGTTTGATTTGTATAATATGTAGCTGTTGCAAACGTGAAGTTTCGTGACATTTTTTTTATAAGCTTCGGATGTATGCATTTGAAAATCACGTATAGAAAAACAGAAACGAGTCAATAATCTCTGACGTACATGAAACAATCATGCATTTGTAAAATTCGGACTTTCTCTGAACTATATCGAAAGGCGTGTGACACTAATAACGTGTACACACGTATCCTTAAAAAATAAAATTCCTTGATATAATACACTCTACTTCATACTTTACATGTAGTTATGTATTTATGTATTTTAGTCCAAGTTCGAAACCGCGATCTCTTGCCCTTTCCCGTCTCGAATACGCGTCGTTTGAGAAATGAGCGTCAAGTACCAGGACCAACAAGCGACAAAACAAGGAATCAAGGAACGATCCTCGCTCTATAATACTGCGTTTCTTCCAGCTTCGAGATCGATGCCTAGCACCCCGTTCCTCAGTTACGCTATACCAACCCCCCTGTCCCCCCCCCGCCCCGTCGATTTATCTTCGAGGATTACCTTTTGACAGTGGCACAATCACCTCGTTCCGCGCTGAGCAGGAAGTGCTTCTCAACTGGGCCAAGAATGTAGTCCGTGGGCGGACTTAAAGATTGCATCGACGGTGCTCTCCCTGTTGTTTCGTTCGCGAGAAGATTCTGCTGCGACTCCGATGGATTCATCTTGCAACACTCGTGTTATATTCGTACGGACTCGATCATCGATTGCACAGGAACAACCTACGAACAAGCCGAGTCGCTAGTTGAAGTCCAGGGACCATTTACACTTTCGAATGTTTATCGTTGTGAGGTGGAATCTTCAGGGTTGGCTGGAAGTAAAAGGAAGGAACACGAGAGTTATATGGATGAAAGTTGCATGGATCTTTCATTTCTTTTGACTTCTGAGAGACGCCTCAAAGGAGGAGAGAACTGTGAATTAAATGAAATATCTGATCAGAACATTCGATCACGTTATTCATGGAACGCGAATAAAATTTGAAGGGGGGGGGGGGAAACAAAAAATGCGAATGAAAAGATTCACATTCTCGCGTCCTTGCCGTGACTGTGAGGTAAATGTAAAATTTCAAATTCAAGACACAACCGTAGGAGCAACGTTGCACGTTTCAAGATAAAGGCTGCGATAAAGAACTCGAAAGCTCATTCGAAGAATTGCAGTACGTTTGAATATTTATGGGCAAGCAAAACGATGGATGGAAAAGAAACATTTGCAGTTATCAAAAAAAAAAAAAAAAAATTCATCTAATCATGTAAAGTGATCATTCATGTAATCGTGTAAAGGACAATGGAGAAAGAATCGGAAATTAACTGGAAAACATCGCGCTGCTCAAATTAAGTTCCCTCAGAACTGAATATCGAAATTGAATTATGAATTTCACGGAGGGAATGCGGAGCAATCGATAAGTATGACGTATCTGCGATCATGAGATTATCTTCGGATCATTATGAAGGAGCCCTGTGTTTTCCACGATTCTACTTTGCCTCTCTGTGTTTAAATCCTTTCCAATGTTCAAAGATGAATTTGAATTAATGAATGAAAAAGAATTTACTTTCTTTCTTTTTTTTTTTATATCCTTTATATTAAGGATAATAAGGATATTTATTAAGGATATTAAATTTGCTTTAACTGAGTGGTGTAGCTAGTCCAGCGAAGATTCAAGTTTCAACTAGTGTTCCGTTTTCACGATGAAATTACATCTCTGGTTACACAAAATATGACCACAATTTCGTCTAGTTAGCTAGTTCAACTTAAAGGTCATTTTCTCTAAAGTTTCGTGGTTACGATAGGTTTTCTATTGTGAATACAGTAGTTTTCTATTTATTTCTGTACCAACGTTTGTAACACTTAATTGTAGTCACACCAACAGTATTCACGAAATTCGATTACATTTGAAGTTACCAATCAACATCTACGAAATTCTATCTGCAAATATGTCCCGCAATTGTACCTCAACAAAAAAGTATTACCTTACGTTACAAAACTACCTAGCTTCTGATCCATTGCAAGTAGAATGATCCAACAATTTCCACACTTTCAGACTTATCTTGAGTCGATTTACCACCACTCGATCGATCGTATTCAATTATTTCAAGGGAATCTCTACACGCCACGCGTGGTCTGTACATCGTACCTCGTACGTATCACGTAGATCAACGTGAACCAATGTCAATCATCCTGATCCTCAGTCAACTCGTCAGTCTCGTAGATCAACCCAACAGACTGCTCTGTTCTACTCCGAGAACTACTTGGTCGCAGACGACAGTGGAATAAAGCCGTGGTGCGTTCACCAGTGCTCGACATAGTTGCTCGAAGCCATAGGACGTCGGTCAGCTGGGGCATGGATTAAGCACAAACACGTGGATTGCATCGAAAGAAGAGAAACACCTTTGTGATCATATTGCGTGCACATCCACGTGCACGAGATCCACGGAGAATCTCGCGAGTCTATCATAATTCTTCGGATTAATAGATGACATGAAGATGAAAGGCAACGAGAGAGAGAGATGGGTGAAGGGATGTTCCGAGGAGGCTCAACCTCGATCGTTCTTCTTCGTTTGTCCTTGGACACCTAGGGCAATATGGCGAAAGTGAACTAAACCTGAATGAAATCCGCACGATTCTTTTCTTCTGTCTGTCGTAAGGATGTGTACATGTGAAAATAGCGAATTTCCTCGGTGCTGATCGGGAGAAATAGCGACATTTAGGAGAGTTTAGTAGTTTGCTTTGTTTCCTGCGAAATTTCGTTCCGGTCATTTCGGCTTGTTCTTGTTCCAGCGGCAGATGGATTTTTTTCCATAGTGCTGACTTGTTCTTTTCCTTTACGGCGAGGATAACTTTTATCACCGTTCTTGTTATTTCAATGTTATTTACCGTTATTTGTACATAAGAAGCTGAATGACGATTGCTTGGAAAGATCCTCTCGGGAATTGGAGACACTTTCGTCTCGAGGTATTTCAAGTTTTATCAGCGAATGTTTTGCATAAATGAAGCGAACATTGTGTTGGTAATTAGCTTGAATTGCCAGGAAATTTAGAGGGATGAAATCCTCGCACCTTTTTTAATAACAGTATTTTCTCTTCCCTCAATGATATTTATTTATGAAACTGCGATGACATTCTGCGAAATCTGATGTAATCTTTCTAGAAAAAGTTATGATCATATTAATATGTGTCATAATTATTTAGTACTTACATGCATTGAAAATTGGAAAATCAATTTCAAATTAAAATGTAGACTCGCTTGCTGCCTTATTTCAGTGCCAATAAAATTTTGAAAAAGTTCTATATATATAGAAATATAATTTTGAAAAGCACAATATTTAATGTATTTATAAGATTTTATATTTTATATTTACGAGTGTACTTCTTTAAGTGCTTTTGTGAATAAGTGAGCCAAACTCCAAGCAATACGTACAAATTTGAAGATAATAGTGGTATCAATTTGTCTCAGGTCACCCTAAAAGAAGGAGGTGACACGTGTTATAGAGAGGGGTGAATGAATTAGAAATAAAAACCACTTATTTCTAGCCACTTTCTTCTGTCCCTTTAATCGTTTAATTATACATGCGTATTAAATTTACATTCACTTTAAGAATAACGTTCAGGTTACAGATAATGTGAAGTACTGTAGTACTAGCTCCTATTACAATTGTAGGATACTTGAGAAAATAATAGCCAAGTCTATAAAAAAGAGAACACTAAAATTATATCTTCCTAATAAATATATATCTCAGTTTTAATTTCACCGGGTAGAATTCGTATTGACTCAAAACATGATTTTAACATAGTAAAATTGAGTTATATTAAAGAATTTATAGGGCAATTCGAGATCGTTCGACCACTTTTTGAAAGAACATTTTTGTTAATTTCGGTTCGTGCAATTGTTCGTGTTTATTTAGGATATAAATAAATAAATTTTGCGACAAACTAAAATTATTTATTTTCATTTCCAATAAAAAAAACATTGACATTGCAATTGGGTGAAATCGAACTCGAAAAATAACAAGATATGTAATTTAAAAAACGTATAACGAACGAGGAAATTAACTAGCATGTCCTTCTTCTTCAATTTTCCACAGAAATCGTAAATATTTTCCTATTTAAACTATCTATCATGAAACCAACATTTGCAAACCTAATTCATTCGTGGCTTTCTGAGGTTTTGAAATAGTTGTCTCCTAAATGCTTTCTACCCTACCATTATTTCATGGAATTGTCTGATATATTTTAAAATTAGCCATATACGTGGATAATTCAAAATTTTTTTCTTCTACGTTCTTATGGACTTGGCCAAAATCTTCTCGACTTAGTTTTGTCATCGACAATGACGACGATTGTTGAAACGTTGCAAAAACGTTTGATTTTTTGCTTCTTCTTTTTCTTTTTTTTTTTTTTTTCTTTAACCGGCTTTCTTGCGGATTCGATTCACGTCATTGATATCAAAGCCAATGAAATTTCTTTTATTTACACTGAAGACGCAGGTGGATGCACATTAGAGTACCCGGAAGCGACGTTATGGTACAACGTTATTTTGTCTGCCAATTTTTTTTAATCGAACAAATCTTTATGAAAAATGACCACTTACGCATCGTGAAATCACTTGAAGATATAAATAATTGATTAGAATTATCAACGACGATATAAAATTTAAAAGAGTTCTTTAAAAAAAATATTTTCTTATTATTGTTGAAGCAAAAATTAATTTTAAAAGAGTAATTAGTGAGGTAGATTGTCATAGACTATCGTAAAAATTGACACAAGCTTCCACTATAGTGGTCCGTACAATTAGTAACCTTTGTTTGTTATTAGAACTATTTCTTTAAATAGTGGAATTCATTTGTTGCTTAAAATAGATCAGTACTTTCAAGAATTATCGAACAAATATCGATCACAGTTAAATTAATCACATATAACGTCAAGTCACATTCCTCGCAGAGATCATAAATTTGATTAAAGTGAATAAAATTTAGCTTGGATTGTACCTTTATTTTTCTTTATTATTCTTCAAATTATTATTAATTTAATAATTATTAAAAATATTATTTCGCGCCGTATTTATCATCCATGAATGTTTTATTTCTTTTCAACCATCTTTAACTGAGAAAATCGTGACTCCTCACAATCCTCCAATTTATCTTTAAATAAAATTAAATTAAATGTATCTTTCACAAGCAATTTACGTATTTAACTGTAAATAAAAAATATTTGCAAAACAAATATTTGTAAGAAAGAAATGTCATCAGTATGAAGTATGTAAGATAGAAAAATATGTATCAGTGAACAGTTAACATCCAGCTACTAAGTCTCGACATTAAAATACTTTAACTTAAACACGTTCATAGCCTAATTAAATAATAAAATATTGACGAAAACGCTATCGAGCAACATTACTTATACGTGATCGCTCAACGATCCACCGAATCATCACGAAACTGAAACAACTCGCTGAAACAGCTTCGTTAAAATTTTAAAATTGATTTCTGATCATGATTCAATTTCGGATCCCATTTAATTCTTATTAAGCGTCTAATTTTACCTGAAAGACCACGACGAAAGCATCAACCGACTCCATAAAATCATTTATACCTTATAGCTAAAAGCACGAGGGAAGATGTAATAAGTGTTCGTGGAGTCGTAACAGAGTATAGATCGACCGATAATAACGTTGTTCCATCGGAATATCAGGATCGAGTACCGATGTGACGTCCCGAAGATGAGCCTGTTGACGACGGGTCGGCACAAAAATCCCAAATTACGAGAGAGCATTTTTTTTTAGTCGTGTTTCGAGCCAAGTCGATTCTCCAAGAAGTCCAGATTGCTCCTATGCTCGACATCAATGTTGCTCAATATGTCACACAAGTGAAGTAAGTTTGCCTCGTACGGATGAAGTTCTTTAATCTCGTTTGACAGTAGATCGGAGCATAGTGCCGTCATGTCGATCTCCACAGGATAGATGTGCACGTTTCGGCCGTATCTGGCGAAGAAAATGGATATCACGAGAATAATTAAGAGAATATTATTATGTGATAGATGAAATTGGAATGAAAGCAATACTCGTAAGAGATGATTGTAGACATCAAGAAATTTAAAGAAGTTCACGTACAAAACTTGATTGACAAACTTGCCCTTCTATTTCACTCGCACTTTACGTAAATATTTCACTCGACAAAGAAATGAAGTTCTGTTGCCATTTGCTCTTAACGGAACTACTCGCCTTTAGAAAACAAGTGTTGCTAATTCAAAAGTGACAGACATCGATAATAGTTTCCTTTACTTGAATATTCGTCTCGCGTATTTTCCAAGGAAATGAACTTTTCAGATCTCCTCTCAAAAGAAGAAGAATTTATACATTCATGTAGAATTCA